CTTTTTTAAAGCTACCTTTGTCTGGTGTTAGCCTTCCATCTTCTGTGTTCTCAAAAGGCTGGTGTCTTGCATCACTGTTAAATTTAGATATTTGGTCAAGTGCAGTGGTAATGTATCTTGAAGCATTTTTGGCTGCTGGAACCTGACTGAAGATCTGTCTGTCAGCAAAGGGCAGTGTACATCACACTTCTCTCATTTAGCTGAACACAACCTCAATGTGCCAATTTTGATGTGTGAGCTTAGTCACAACTGGTGTGGATGTTTCTAAATATTATGAATTTATATTACTGTCTTCATTGTCAACCCATTCCCCCATCCTAATAGTAAAGAGGGAAAGATAACTTGTGGTATTTCCTCAGAAAACACAGAGCAGTGTTAAGTAATATCTACTACAGGTTTTATGTATTGGAGTCATCTGCAGAGAGCAGCTGGGCAGAGAGATGATGTTTGCATCAGTAAACTCCAACTTTTTTTTTCTTATGTTTATATTCAAATTTCTTCAACAGTAGATGTAAATCCCTATCACTTAAGGCAGTTGGGCCACACCTAAAAGTGTTAATAAACAAATATATATGATAACAAGCATTATTTTATAAATTGTTATGATCCAAAATGGTAATAATGATATTTTTCTTACCGTTCAGCTCTGGAGCTTGTTGTATGTGTCTTCCTCCATGTTTTGCCTGATTCATTGTGTTGTTGTTGCTGAAAGTCGGCTCCATCGGGGTTTCTGTATTTTCAGTGATCTCAGGAATGATTTCTGTAGCATCATTTTTAAACATCTGCCACCCTTGCACAGACTGAAATGTGATTTGTGTCACGACACAGACAGCGCACACAGCCCAAGAGATCTGCATGGTGGCAGCTCACAAACCAGCTTTTCAGCACCCTGACACTCTCAGATCCCAGGCAAAGGCACATTATTCCCCTTTTTAAAATCCCTTTTAGAACCAAGCCAGCCAATGACTATACAAAGTGGGAAGGGCCAGACAACTCATTCATCTCAGCTTTTGTCAGTGTGAAATAAAATGGGTGTGTGGGGGTGGGTTAGTGACAATATTCTACAACTTTTATACAAAAAACCTCTCATCTCTACCTAATTTTTGAGCCTGGCAACAAATGGTGATAGACAAGACAACAATGAATTGCAACCTGACAAGCCTTTCTGCAGTTTTTTCCTAACAATTGTGATTAAAACCTGCTTCTGCCTCCATCCATATTTGAAACTTTGGCTGTTGTGTTTTCCAAAGGTTTTTCAGACTTTTTACATTGTTGTTATTCCTCTTCTCTTTGCTGTATAAAGTAAATAAATCTAGAAACTGTAGCTCAGTAGTTCAGTCTCTGCAGGGCAATGATTAGGGTTAGGGTAGCTTTTTATCTCCCCTTTCCAAAACGAAGAGCTCTACATTTTGTTTCTCAAATATAATGGAAGAAGTAGGGAAGAGCTTCATTTCAATATGAGAAGTCGTTGTGTTTACTTTTCCTTAAAAATAGTTTGCTTGGAATATGTTTTTAGGTTAAACAGCCAGAATGTTGTACATCATAATTTTTGATGTGCTCTTTCTTTCTTTTTAACTCTTTGGAAAACCCACCTAACACATGTTTGCATTTGCTTTTAATTCATTGCAAACTACTGTTTCTGCTGCCATTCTGTGAAGTGTTGAATACAGGACATTTGCTCATTTCAAACACAAGAACTTGGCCAGACTGATTTCCAGCCATGACATAACCAACAAAAAGAGAAAAATGATGACTTTAGGTCTAGGGCATTTATGCCTAAGATGTATTAATGCATCATGTTTCAAAATCTCATCTGTGGTATTTTTCCTTCCAAAACCAAGATGATAGTGGTGAAAATATCAGAATTTCTGTATCTCAAAGTCACATACACTTTCAAGTGATTTGCAAATGATGTTAGGCTAAATTCCTTAATCAGAAAGCATCTCAGCCTTTAGGAAGGTTAAGATACCACACTGAGCTTGTCACAGCTCCTGCAAACAAAACATTTTCTTAAAGCAGCACAGGGACACATGTGTCACTGCCATGCTTGTCACAGACTTCCTCATGAAAATATTTCCTGTAGAAGAGATCTAAAAATGATTCAGTCTGACTTTCTCCTATGACTGTAAGACTCAGAATGGTTTCCATTCCATTCTGGCATGGAATGGGTACAGAAAAGAGGTGTCACCAAATTTAATGTGTAGGTGTGGTGTCCCTTGGTGTGCCCTGGATGCTGAACAGCAGCAATGACCTGGTGACATTTCACCCCTTCATCCCGACACACACTGATACACCCAGCAGGGCACCGTGGTGCTGAGTGAGCTTCAGCACAGCTGCTCTCTGCAATGCTCCTTTCCTGAAACACTGCTGTCTGAAATGTATTTTAAGGTGCTTTCCTTCCTAGTCTTTTGCTCATCCAAAAATTAGAAATTAGCATTGTCAGAAGTGCTCTCCTTTCCAAATAATCCAAGGAATGTCTAAAAGAAATCATTAATTGTTTCATACTACAGTGTGCCCTTGCTGTCAGTTCACCTTCCTCCTTTCCTCCAGCCCACACCTTAGGCATCCAACCATCCCAGAAATTACTCTGTTTTTATGGAGGAATACAGCATACTACTTTCTTTCCACAAGACTTTTTCTCCTCAGTCAGGATATATTCTTAATGCATTCTTTAATACAGGCTGTTGTCAAATCATTTGCCTCCAATATGCTGATTATTTTTTCTCTATCATCATCATCATCATCATCATCATTAGTGGCACTGATTATCCTTCATTAGCTTCCTCCTTTTGTCAGAGCAGTTAATGATGGTCTCACAAACACAGGAAACCAAACTTCCAGCCATTGCAAATGTTCTTCTAAGCATAATTTTGCTTACCTACATGTAGTAAATGTATTTTTGGCTTAGAGTCGTGGAGGACTTGAAGGACCAGGAACTAAACAAAATTTTGGTGTTATTTTTGTCAGATAGGAATACCACGATGTGTGGGTGTTCTCCAATAGAGCCCTTGGCCAAAGTGACATCAGAGCTTGTGGCAGCTCAGAGTACAGCTGAAAAGCAGAGCAGGAGAGTAGAGAAAAGCTGAGTGCTGGTAATCAATTAATCCTTGCTACCTCTTTACCCCCCTATTTAAATGCCTTCAGAATTGTATGTATCCAAATTGTATGTATTCAAAACTCAGTTTCTGTTATTTTCTTTTCATGTAATATCTGCCTAAAGAATATTTCCAGAAGCTCCCATTGTCAGTGTGGGCCTACTGGGGAGAACCTCGTTTAGAGTGATCAACTGTCACATAAAACATAAAAATCTCCTTGATGTTGCTTCTCTCAAGTACATAAACAATCAATCCCTTGTATTAATTGTTTTAACATTTATCTGTATAACCCACTTGGAGAAATAACACCAAAACAATTTCTGAATGAAAAAACCAGAAGCTATATTTAGCCTGTGGCTTAAAATTTCTGTCCATAAACTGGGAGGCAGCCTAATAGATGCCAGGAATGAACCCAAATCTCAGACATTCAGATTCCTTAACTACAAAAACATTCTTTCACACATTGTAGCTGCTTGCCTGCTCACAGTCCTTTCTGCAGCAAAGCAGACATGGTCTGTGCTGCAGTCTTCCTAAAAAATTAGATGTTTGTACTGTTAATGAAGCACAGGAAAAAACCAAAAAGAGTTATCAAGGATAGAGTGTTCTCAGAATGAACCCTCACTACCAGGGTGGGACTGATACCCCTTATATGCAGAGCTGAGCTGCTCTTCCCTTCTCTGAGCTGAAAAATTTCATCCTCAGCCACGTGTTGTGGTTTGCCCACAGCCAGGAGCCAAATCCACTGGGACTGGGGACAGAATCCCAAGGGTAAAAGCTCATGGGATGAGATAAAGACATTCCAATAGGAAAAGCAAAAGCCACACATGCAAGCAAAGCAGAGAGGAGTGAATTCCTCCTGTGGGCAGTCGTTGTGTTCAGCCACCTCTGGGAGAGCAGGACCCACCCTGTGGAGCTGGTACTGGGGAGGAATAACACCACCACCCCAGGCTGTACATGCTGAGCATGGTGCCAAATGGTCTGGAAGATCCATTTGGTCCCTTGGGTACAGCTGTCTCAAGGTGTCTCCCCCATTTTCCCACCCCCAGCCCCTCCCCAGCAGAAAAGGTCTCAGCTCTATGTCAGCCCTACTCAGCAGTAACAAAAACATCTCTGGAAGGTCATTACTGTGCTCAGAACAAACACAAAACACCCTGGGAATAAAGTTAACCCTACCTCAGCCCAACCCAGTGCTCTAAGAAGGAATCAGAGACATCAGGGGAGCAGGTTCAAGGAGTTAATTGGCATCTTGTACTTAGCCTTTGCTAATGAATCCATTGCTGCTGCTTCCTGAACTCAGGCATCTGAGCAGCTGAAATGCTGCCACTGCAACACTACAATGCAAGGAGATAAACTAAACCAGTTTCTGAAATCTGTTGTCACTTCCAGCTTCAGGTGCTCACTCTGCCCACACCTGGGCCAAAGGGGTCTGCTCAGCATCCAAGCCCGAAGCTGTACAGGTGCAGCTGTGGACAATCCCTCAAACTTCACACGCTGCCCAGGAATTGTTTTTGACACAATTTTGCTTCTCAAACAGCTGTTTGTTTGTTTCTTTCTTTGTTTATTTTCCATGATGCAGCCTTTCCCAATCATCTTTCAGCTGTCTCAGAAGAATTTTGCAATGTCACATACTACCGAGTGAATACAACAGGCTGAATGCTGTGATGTGATCTCCTGCAAGAAGCCAAAATAAATGGATTCTTATTCTCCTACCAGAGACTGCTAAATCATTCTGGTGGCTTGTCTTTTTCAGTGAGAATACACTGGATCCACACCACAGCACAGTTCAGGGATTCTGAGATGTCTCTCCAGGGAGGAATAACAAGCCTACAGCTCCATCTGGTGGGTCAGCCAGCCAGCAACACCGGCATACAGGAACTAAAATTAAAAAACACAACCAACACTTGATAATTTCCAGGATTTGTTTGCAGAAAACATTAATGGGACACTAATTCTCACCAGCAAATCCTTAAGAGACACCTCTCAGGTTTGTTCTATTTCTAGTTGTACTCATTGCTGAAGCCCAGAAAGTAATTTTAGAAAAAAAACTTCTGTGCTAAACTAAGAAAGACACCACTAGATAGTCTCTCTGTGCTAAAAACATCATAGTAAACTAGCAGAGCTAATATAAAAAATAAAAGAAGGTAAAAAGTCCTGCTTCTGCTTCTGACATCAGAGATTTGATTAGTTCTGGACAACAGAAGGCAGCTCAATGAAATATCTAAATGATGAAAATAAACATTGCTAATATTCTTTCTGCTGTTCTTTGCTGAGGAGGAGGAAGATGTATTTGACACAAATTTTTCAACTCAGAAACATTCATTATTATTATACATGGTGCCTTTCACCTCCAAGGCCATTTAAGAAGATGAATTCTCACATCACCAATCATAATTAGAAAAGGATGTCCAATTTTAATACAGGCTTAACACCCAAAAATGGAATTACAATACAATGTTTTGTGGCTGCTAGTTCTGCATTCAGATGCCATTAATTTCAAGTTTGAAATAACTTCATGCAACGTTCACTTTTCAGCAGAGCACCATTCTCTCATGAAGTCTTTCTGGCAGTATCTGTGGTGCAGAGCTCCATGCCAGGTACAACCCCTATCTATGCTGTAGTCTCACTGCACGACCAAAGGATGAAGAAAGAACTACAAAATCTTATTTTTGCTTTCTATCTTAATTTTTAGTTACAGACTTCTTTTCTATACTTATTCATCAGCTAAGAAAAATTTAGTTCAGTGTGAGTGGGTGAATTTTACATGGATCATCATTTTGTCCATCTGGACTTTCATCTTTCTTCCTTGTTGTAAAATATGAGTAGTTTTTCATCTTTTCCCATCCTCTCTAACTTCACTAACTCTTAAGTACAAAAAAACCTAAGCTGTTGCATTTTCTTTCATTGGGCTAGACTTGGCATCTTTGTTCCATGAGAGATGCATATCGCTTCTCCACACGCTACCCACACAAAATCTACCACACTGCAATTCATATTAATATAAACATATTAATGTAATTCCTGATTACACTATTTCAGCTGTGGCCAGGAAGTTTCAGCTTCAGAAGTAGAGTGTTGCTGTTTGCAACAAACAGTTCTTTTAAAATGTATCTCCCTAAATTAGCATTCTTTTAAGGAAGATCTCACAGCAAAGTGCAGGTGCTCAGCAATTTCAGAGGAATAAGAAGTTCTATTTCTTCCAATACATTCTCAATTTCATATTACATGGAAAGGAAGCTCTCATCCCCATGTTTTATACAATCTTTCCTTCTACAATCAGGAAGAGAAATTTAGAAATACAGAGAATATAATTGTGGATTAGAGGCATACAAGATCTTCCTGGCCAGATAAAATGTGCAGAGGAACTTGCAACATGGCTGTAGTTGGAGCAAGACTGAGAGGAAGGGTATGATCTATTAATGGAGCAGTGATCTGACATTTTAACTATTTTTAGTCTGCTCTAAAAGCAGAAATGGTTTCATTGCTGAGTTGCCTATCAGTAATTTTAAATATGATATACTGTCTCACTTTTAAAACAAATTTATGTTGTCTTACTTCTGCCTCTCCACCCTCATATTACAAAACATTTGCAAAATCAGTTTTGTTCTACCAAGACAAATGGGCCAGTTACCATAAGAGTCACCAGTGTCCCATGAAGCAAAAAAATATCTTCAATGTAAGATCACATTCCCCTCTGTTTTGATTTTCAGTATTTCTTGATGCTTACAAATACAGAAACATCACCATAAAGTAAACAGACTCAATTTTAATAAACCTTTCTGGTTCCAATATGACAAATTCCAGCTTTCTTACAATCTACTCAAGAGTAACAAAGGTCTAATGGTTTCTTAGCTCTTTCATGGACTGGAATTTTGACTTCCAAGTAACAGGTGAAAGATAAAGTGCATCCACATGAATTTCCCTTTTCTTCCTTATAGTGCAAATAGGTGTTGAGTACATGGTGTGAGACAAGACAAAAAAAAAAATCTATGTTTAAAATAAAAATTTTTAAAGGGTAGTTTATAAATTAGATTGCAGTATGAAAAGTCAGCACTGTAGAAAAGGTAAGGCCAATATTCCTATTTCTAAAGCCACTACTCCTATTTCACATAACATTAAATTAGTAACTAGGAATTTTGAAGAAGCAATTAATCTACCCCTCATTAAATGGATCAGTGGGAGAAAGCAGACAGGTATGTAATTACTGGAATTGACTACAGCTTATTACTACTGAACCATCCTGATTCAAAGCAAGCACTGGATACTGAGTGACTCTGGAGATGTGACAGGGATACCATGTAGAATGTTCCTCAACCATCACCTGAAGCACACAACAGAGAAAAGGCTCCTTGATGTGGCAGTTCCATCCTGTGGAAGGAAAAACAGTAAGACTGGAGCTCAAGCTCAAGTTAAACTCACCTCTGGAGTTTAACTCCAAGAATGTTACCTTGCTGTACAGAGCCTCCACTCCCACATCTCCAAACCACAGAACCCCAACAACAGGAGTACAACAATGCATGCGTGTCCTTTGTGATTCCTGATTACTAAACTGAGTAGACAAAACTACATCTGGGATCACATGTGTTACCAATACAGTGTTTATGTTTAAAACACTGTGTTTCATCCTGGAACTACATCAAAGCATAGGTGAGAATGGAACAGTCACTCTGGTTTCTGATGGTTTAACCAACCCATTTTGCAGTGGGAGATTATTTGCATTAACACAGTGCTGTAACTCACAGGTACACATTTAAACACCAAGTCAGGCACAGTGCAAACAAAGCTCCCTCTCCCAACACTGCAATGACTCATTTCATCTGTAGTAAACAGCATCAAGACATCATTTATTTGAATATAGTGTAAATATTTCCTACACAGTGTGGTACATTACAATGCTCATTTCTAGTTAATGATATCATGCAAGCAATCCAAGAAGTCAAGAGTGTTCTTCTGCAAACTGCTTTGTAAGCACACCTCTGCTGGAAGGAATCTGCTTGTGTGGTCATTCCACTTTGTGTTACTGAACAGTGATAGTAAAGAAGAGATAAAGACACTGTAATTCCATACAAGCTTTGAAAGCCATTATATTTAGTATACTTAGGACTTAATTATACATCCACCACAAGCACTTCTAAAGACTAATATTTCTTCCTTGTTCAAGTTCTTCCCTCAGCATTTGCGCTTGGCATTTTTTTCTAGTATGCTTTCAAAATAAAAATAAAAGAGCATTTAATAATAGACCATTTAACGTCCATTGTAACAGCAAGAGATAAAAAACTATTCTTGGAAACACAGTGTGCATGAAGCATGGGCTCTGAATGGCTTTACTATCACACTGTGTATTGCATAAATCCACACGAAATGCTGCATGCACTTCATTTTCCAAGTGAATGCATCTGTGCAATTGTATATATGCTTCCCATTCCTTGAAGCTCCTACATTCAAACTTTAGGCACCTGTGTGCATGAAAAAGAAGCTTTAGAAATTACAGTGCTCCTGCTAAGAGTGAGTGAAGAGATGTGTTGGGGCTTTTGGGAACTGGTGCTCTGGTGGGATTAAAGACAAAGCTTAAATGAATCACATTCAATGTCAATGCAAACCACGTATGCTATGGAGTCTGCAGGGGCTCTGAAATATGTGTGAAGACAGCTGTTATCACTGGAGTTATCACTCTAAAAACATCTCTTTATGGCAACAGCTCCAAACAGTGACACAATTTTGTACCATCTTGACAGACAGTCACAGAGTTCAAGAAGGATACGTTCACTAGACAAGCAGGAATTCTGTTTCGCTTTAGCCTGGTGGTTGCAATTTGGGTCTCTAAAGCATCCTCTAAAGGTCTGAGAAACTTAAAAAGCAACACTGCAGTGCTGTGTCCTAGGGCTTGAGCTTGCCCTCCTTCAGGAGCCGCTCGTTGAGCTGGCAGAGCTGCCTCAGGAAGCCATCATTGGGGCCGATCTCTCGCTTCTGCCGCACGGCGCAGAGCGCGCTCCGCACGTCCATGCGCTGCCGCAGCATCAGGTACGCGATGACCAGCGTGGGTGAGCGGCTGTAGCCCTCCCGGCAGTGCACCAACACCTGTCCTGCAGGGACACAGGGTGGAATACACAGCTGAAAAGCAGTATGAAATAACTAGGATAGGAACTGTATTAGTATTAGTCCTTTCACAGCTCGAGAAGTGTGAGTTCCAAATGCTACAGGAGACACGCTGGAGTTGGAAGAAAGGCGCTGTTCGCTCTGTTAGGAGCTGCACAGGCTGTGACCAAGGGTAATGCAAAATTTAAAAAACAATGGGTTGCAAGTCAAACAATTGCACTGAAACATATTTGCTACTATATCACAAGAGTCAAACTATGTCTATTTACTGTACTTTTCCTGCCTTTGGTGGTTTTGACAAGCTTTGCCCCTGAAGATGACCAGTACCAAAGAGCACAAATAAATGAAGTTTAAAATACATGGAAAACAAATATGCTGTTTGCCATGTACTGCATCTCCTCAAAGATATCCAGCCTTTCAGCTGCATTGCTGCCAACTGCTGCACTAACTCCATGCTGCATCACACCTGGCCATTTCTCTGGCTGTTTATGAAGCCACATTAACACTCAGGTAGATGAAGCTGCCTACTCTGCAGAGACAAGAGGCAGAAATTGCTAACCAAGCTGTTTGTCAGCACCAATAAAATTCTTCCAGCTGATTGATTAGGGAACTCATTCTACATGTTAGGTAGGTGTATTGCGTTTGCATGGCAACATTTTGGTAGTGGTGGGGGGCACAGGGGTGCCTTTTGTGAGAAGATGCCAGAGGCTTCCCCTGTGTCCAAAAGGGCCAGAGCCAGCTGGATCCAAGGATTTGCCAAAGCCAACAGTGATAGTGGTAGCACCTCTGGGCCTTGAGCACCCCAAGCCCTGGTTCACAGGCTGCAGGTAAGGCTGGAGCTCCTCTCCACTAGGGCCATGATGGAGTTGTGGAAACCACTGGGTGTTGGGGAAGGTGAAACAGGGAAACCTTATGAATGTGATTGTTTGGCACTAGATTGTGAAAATATGAAGGCTAGAATCAAAGTAGAAATGAAAGCCTGCTTTGAGTTATAGGATACTGAGTACTGGTTAACCAAAGAACAATAGCCTAGCCAGCTAGAGGAGAATCCCTATTGATAAAACAATGTCCTTCTGCTGATAAGAAGAGTCCGAAAGTAAAGAAGCAAGGAAAGAACTTGTAAAGCTCTGTAGAGTATAAAATGCAACACTGTATGTTAATATAGGGAAGCCCATAGGTTGTATGTAAATTCTTTAGTGGGTGTGTCTCATGGTGATTGGTTTCTGGTAATTAGAATATTCACGATAGAAAAAGATATATTGGATTGTAACAAGAACTTCGCTCTCTTTCTCTTTACTTTTTACTTTTTACTCTTACCTCTTACCTCTTTACTCTTCTCTCTTCCCTCCTCCCTTTACCCCTCTCCCCTCTTCCCCCTCTTAACTCTCAGCCCCTTCTCCCTGCTCCTACCCCTCTCGCCTTCCCTGCTCTTTCCCTCTGTTGCTCTCTTACTCCCTCCCTCTCCCTTCCAACCTCACCATCCCTGCTCTACCTGGTCTCTCTCCCCTCCCCCGGACCACGTGGACGCCAAGGCTGGTGGCGGACACGGGTCTCCCCTCCTTTTACTCTTATAATAAATCGCTTATACTTGAACAGCTTGACCCTGGAGAAGTCTCTCACCGCGAGCGAGTGTTTTTGCTACTCCAATAACTGGGGGTGAGGCCTAGGCACTGGGGCTTGGATCTCTGGACACAAGAGCAGACTCAGAGAAAGCTCTGAGCCCTGGGGGACCCACCTGTCCCAAAGGGAACCACCACAGAACAGAACCCGAGAACAGAGCTCTCCCCAGCCACTGTCAACATGCCACACTGGGCTAAAGATAAAGAGCCCCACTATGGGAACTTCCAGGAGGCCAGGACTCCTTCAGGACCTGCCTTCACCTCCCCCTGCTCCAGCTGGAGCACAGGCCCTGCTCCCTCTCCCAGAGGTACTTGTCCCTGCTCCTGTCCCCACCGGACCTCACCAGGAGCTGCCACTGGCCTTGTGCCTGTCCCCTTGTGCTGCTTGGCATGAGGAGGTAGAGAAAATAGGGAATTAAGCTGAAATTGAAAAGAAGGAGGGGTAGAGGGAAGGTCTTTTGAGGTTTGGTTTTGTTACTCATTCCCCTACTCTAATTTGATTGGTATTAAGTGAAATTAACTTCCCCAAGCTCAGTCTCTTTTGCCTGTGATGGTAATTGCTGGGTTATCTCCCTGTCCTTATCTTGACTCTGGAGCCTTTTGTTTTACTTTTCTCCCCTGTCCAGCTGAGGAGGGGATGTGCTGGCATGGCTTGGTGGGCACTTGGTATCCAGCCAAGGTTAAGCCACCACATGGGTAAATCCTACAGCGAGGTATCCAGAAATAAAAAAGCAGGCCACTGCCCCCTTGGAGAAATCTATCCTGATTTTACTGTTTCTCACCTTCTTCCTCTTTGATCTGTTTTACCAGACACAGGAATTTTCTCCTTCCCAAATGCAGTGGGACATGTAGCCCCAGTCTGCTCTCCAGAGTAAATTGTTTTTTGAGACAAGGAAACAGCTGAACCATACCCACATACTCTTATCATAACCACAACTTGCTTTGAATCACACCAACAGAAATCCTGTTACCACATTTGCCTTAAACAGCAAAAGCTTCTTAGCTCAAGGCAAATCACTAGCATGGTAAAAGAGCTAAAACAATTAATTGTCAACATTTCTTGAGAGCCTGTAAGTTAGCAAAATTTAGATTCTTGATTATATACATGGAAGAGAGTTGACTCTTCAGCAAATGGTCAGAAGCAAAATGGTTTCTAGCCTTTCTCTGTGAAAGGCAGTGTCTGAGGGGCTGCCTTCCAGACCTGCAGGATACCAGACCTGCCCTCCAGAACTTCATGCATTGCAACACTAAAATGAAATTGAAGGAGAATACTATTATGTTCCTCTTCACTATCCTTACTCTACACTTCAACACAAAACAAACAATTTGCAGTAACCAGTTAATCTTAAAACTGGCTCCAACATCACCCAGCTCCAAAGCTCCTCTTTGTTTACCACACTAAAAAAACAGGGGTGGGTGTGGTAGACAACTACTAAGACTGAAAGAATCAGCAAATGGAAGTGCTGCAAATTCAGACTGACTTTGAATTTACTGACCCTGAAGCTATTGAGATTAAAGTGAGCAGGTACAGTCATGGCACAGCAAACCCTTCTCTCCTCTTGCAGCCTGTTTCAGTGACTCACAATGCTAACTGCAAGAGGTGTATTTAATTTTTAGAATTTTTCATACTGCACCAAACTGGATGTAGAATTTATTTCCATCTGTCAAAGCCCACATCACAGCTCCAGTACCCCTTTGCCTATTTCAGAGAAACAACTTTTTCAGTTGTGGGAATTCTCATTCCTCCCATTCAATGCTCAGTCACGAAGCAAGAAAGAAATTAAGCATGTGTAGAAATAAGTGGAATGTTGAAATAGTTAGACAACACAAACACCATCTGTCCCACTGCACTGTGTCCTAGGACTTCTGCTCTGAGGAAACACACTACAGAGAAATGTGGCAATAAACAACATTGCAAATATGACCTTCAACTTTCCTGCAATCCTAGGAAATAAAAGAGGCAATCAACACATAAAATAATGTAAGGACTTAATGTAATAAAAACTGTAGGGTGACAGCCTCTAGTCTTACTGCACATTTAGAAAAAAACCCATGTAACAGGCTATATGATTACTCTTCAGTATCTGTATTACTTGTATCACTTCTGCCTTTAAACTGTTATTTCTAATGCCCTTAAACAACTTTTAGACCCTTAACTTATTTTTTAAAAAATATTTTGGATGTGATTTAACATTTCTAAGGAAAAATAAAAACATCTCCTCCCAGAAAGAAACTATAATAAGATGCAGCAGCTGTTTCCCATTTCAAAGTCACTCCTACAGTGACAGACTTCCCTCTGCCATGTACTGGATCCCTCCGTGTATAAACACAAGACTGAGCTGTTTTACTGTGTATCTTTTGTCTTATGTGTATTGTATCATTGATTCAGGGCCTTTATCTGAATTTTTCACTCGGTTGTTCTGTTTACAATATGAGCAAAGAACCATTTTAAACAGAAAATTGCTAAGAAACATATGCAGTGCACAGAAAACACGGTAGAAAGGTATTTCAGTTTGCCTTACCATCCTTCTGGGAAAGGGCTTTCTCAATAAAATCAGCTGCCTCCTCAAAATAGCGACTGAGGTTAAATTCCTGTGTATCGTTAGCTTTAATGCCATGGTATCTGATGCCTGTGCCTTCATAGAACTCTGCATTAGTGTTCACATGCATGAATGATTTCCCCTCTGCTGCATTCAGAACATGGGTTATCCCCAGACGCTGCAGCCTCATAATGTTCTTGGCTATGAACCTGCATGACAGAAAGTGTCAAGAAAACGATTAGAATTTGGTGAATCATTTCAGTATTTAGGTATTGATAACCAAACCCTTTGATTTTTCTGTTAATAGATGCCAAATATACTGTGCCCAGAAGTGAATTAGCTACAGGTTATAAATTCACACAAATATTCAGAGCCATGGTCACTATTTGTGAGAATGCTGCTTTCTTGGCTGATGACTGAGGAAAGCACACATGAAAGTGAATCTGCATCTCTTAGATCCTCCAAGGGGATAAAACAGTAACTTTCTGAACATAAAATTCTGACCAAAGTAGGAAAATAACTGGAGACAATAACACATTAACTTCTAAAATTAACCATTATCCACATAAAAACAGTTATAAAAAGCCTCTGCTGTCAGGTACCAGTGTTGCAGAACTTGATAAGCAGCACTTGCTACTTCAGCAGGCAGTCCAGCCAAACTGACATTTTGGGGGGCAATTTTAAGCACTGTGAAACAGCATTGACTTCTTATCAGGTCACAGGAAGAAAGTAACTGATAAATGTTACTGCATCTTCAGAAGACTCATCTGAGGGCCACTAAGAGGTGCAGTCCTATAGCCCTTCAGTTTTACCAATAATTGTAGCAAAACCAGGAGTTTCCATCTTTAGGTGGCTAAAAGAGTGACCTACCCTATTAATGAACAATTGAGCTGGATGCTACCAATCATGCCTTTCAAGCTTGATGATGATAATTAATTAGATCCAGTAATAATGCCATAAGCTTTGATAAAAGCTCCAGGATGCACTATGGCAAACAACCCATCTGCTTAGTAACACAGCTGACCATGCACAAATCTCTGCTCGTGCCCTAGAACGCAATCTATAGTGAGAGGAGCCAACCCTTAAGTAATAATCAGGAGATCATTGACTCCTTTTTGCCATAAATCCACTACTTTTCATTCTGAGTCTGATTATTTCCATATGGCAGTTGCAATACTTCTGTCAATTTCCTGGGAAGAAATAAAACCTGCATGTTTTATCACACTGCGTGGTCTCCTAGTAAATTGAAGCCCCACTGGTCAACATTTGCAGAATGTGACAGAAACCTTTGGCTGAAGGATAACTCAGTTCCTACACATTTTGTGAAAAGAGGTAGCCTAGACAGATTGTTTTTAAAAACAGCTTTCAGTATGTGTCTAAATGGATATGGGAACAGAAATATTTTTCAAAAATCTCCCTACAGCTCAACTCATAAATTGCAAATACAAGAACTCTTAATATTAAGCTGAAGTCCAGATAAGCATTTGTGCAGTACCATTTTGGACAAGTTTCTGTGAGGTGGAATGCATCCAGGGCTTTTGGCTGGACACTTAATCTAAAAACTTAAAATAAACACCCAAATTAGTCAGTTTACATCTATATGAATCACTGAGTCCATTCACTCACAATTTTGATGTAATTCAAGGCCATGAATATCTTGAGAATTCCTTTCTTCCTGATGACTCCACACCCCTTAAATTCTAGTGTAAGCAGATGAAGACTTATGCATGACTGAAGCTTGTACATTTTCTGCTGTCTGTGCCAAGCAACTATGGCAATGAACCAAATATTTGTAAGACTTCATTACCCAAACAAATGCTGACAGATTTTCCATCTGGCAGGACATCAGCTGTGCCAGGGGAGAAGTTTCAGTGTCTGGAGAATTCTGCTTTCAACACAAAAATCCTACAGAGCAAGGCCAAACCAGAAAGTGTTAATTCAGCAGTGAGTTCCTATGCTTAGTAGGGTGAGAATATGGTTTAATTAATATTATATAGATCAGCATATATCTGGCTGTCCGGCATCAACAGGAACTCCCATCCTGAAATCATGGCTGAATCTGGCAACAGACTAGCTTCCCTGGAGGCAAACTCATTCTCAGTGAATGATTTTTGCAGATTTTACAGACAATTTTCTTACACAGCTAGAGGTGAAAAAGAGAGAATTTGTATGCCATTTGTTTCTCCTTTTCCAAACAGTCCTTGGATCTCTCTCATCCTTAACATTTCATTCCAGCTGCATCATGTTGGATGTTGAAATGCTAGCTCCTTCAAATAGCAGAGATGCTAACATCAGCTTCACCTGGTTCCTGAAAAGCCAGAGAAAAACTCCAGAATCTTGTCCATTCTCAATATGGAAGATTTAGAGTTTCTTGTCCTGTGAGTAACACCAGTAAGAAGTGTTTCTTCTGAACAGAGATGTATTATTTTACCAGCCACAAAACCCAGGTTTTGGAGAACCATTCATCAGCAATTAAGGATACAGGAGGCTATGAACTATTGGCACATGGAATTATAAGCAAATAAACCAAACTTTTAATGGCAAAAAATGCCAGCCTATGAACACATTTTAATTTGCACTGTCCTGCCCATGCAAAATTGTTTCCTTACCAACAGTTCCCTTTACAATCACTGAAGTTAACATGAATTTTGAGAGTGCCCTTCGTACTCCTTACAACACATCTGCAATTCCAGCACATTATGAACAAAGAATTGCTTCATGGGTTACCCACATACATTAAAGCATACAGAAAAAGTAAGATTGGGTATTCAAAACCAGAACATTTTTACCAAATACAGTTCTGGAGATATGGTCAGAATTGTTACAGGTTTCCAAGCATCTGGGAAAAGCCCTACAAATTCCCTAAGTCATCAGTTCAGAAATCTAAACCTACTCATTTTCAGGCAAAACACTGGTTTTAACAAGAATGGGTGCTCTGGATAAAAAGCCTCCCACCCTCCACTGACTTCTCCCTCTTGTCCCTATCTTTATGTCACCTGTAACCCTGATAAAAATGAATTCTGTCCAACCCTTCTGGCCAGATGAAGATGTTACACTGAAATAGATCTCCATTTATACAGAAACACAAAATGATGTGCACTTGCAGTGCATGCCAAATTGTTATTTTGCTATTGTTTGAAAAATATATAATTGTGCTAGTCTATCACCTATACAATTCTTGTTTTAGGGATATTACATTTTTACTTCACAAATCTTTTTGAATCTTTTTATGAGGTTAGAATTGCTTATGGTAATATAGAAACCCCTCATTTTCCAAGTATTTTATCATTTTATCTCTGCATTTTCACTAATTTTGATTTTCATGTATTGCCTGAAAGATTGATGACTTTGGCTCTGCCTGCAACTTGAAGTCACTTGATGGATAAACTGTTACTCTACACTATGACCCAATTTAATCTCATCAGCCTCAATGTCTCTATGTTGTCATTTTTGTCTAAAGATGAATTACTCTTAAGGAGAGACAGCAGCATCCCTGTGCAAAATATCCTAGAGGTAACCAACAGAAGTTTCTGAATCTCAGAGGTTTGAATTTTTTCCTGTGAGCTCCTGTTCAAATTCTATTCCTTTTACATCATGTATTGGCATTCCAATCCCCCTACTCTGGCTGCTCTGTGAATTTTTGTTGTAATAAAACCTCTGTTGCTTGTCATCCAAAACGTGACCCTATATTGCACACAACAAATGTACAAAAGCAGGACATGAAGCTTGAAATTATGTTCAAGATTTGTATTGTTTCAGAATGACTAATACAGCAAACACTACTTACAATGCAGTATGTACCACAACTCCCCTTGATTGAAAAATCTTCTTAGGAATTAATATTATTTCCAGTTTGAGAATATTGAAGTTCACCATGCAGTGACCAAATCTTAATGGAAATCCATCTATTCAACTAGACCTCAGCATTACCTTAACTCTCTGTGGATGCTTCAAAGATATTATTGCCTCTTAAGTCTTGACAAATTAAGATTATCTGCTCCAATTGTGAAATGATTTTTTTCAGCCACAAAGTTATTTCTTACTTCTAGCTGCCCTCCAGAATTTTTCAGCATTCTTTTAAAAACAGTGACAATACAACTGCATGTTTTCTGTTTGTCCAACTAGCAGCAGAACTGTTCTTATGCTAAAACCTGCACTACACATGTTTTTTATCACTTACTACATAAAAAGTCCTTCTCAATGGTCAAGATTTCCACTAGACAGAGACTTTCCACTGCGCAACTTATACATGCATTATCTGTTCTTAGACACCCTTGAATTTGAACATATTAAAGTCCATACCCTATAATTAAAATAAATTACTGAACAATGGAAACAACTCTGTAGTAGCTAACTACCTTCAAAGTTATTTTTAAGTTATTTACTGTGTAAATCAACTTGCAAGCTATGACTTCCTTTTTTCCAGGTAACTGCTACAAATATGAAGGAGATGGTGGCTGTCAGACACCATCTGGCTACGGAGAGAATGATTTTAGTCCCATCTCTGGATGTGCATGTCCTGCATCCACTGGCAGTAACAAATATCATTTGGTTTGGCTCAGAAGTTAGTGACAACCTATGATCTTGACCTGTACTTCTTTAGGAGGTACAAACCTAAAACAAGAATAGGGATCCAGTATACCACACGTATAAAATATAAAAAACGTCAGTCAACAAAAAGAATCACCAATATCGCAGGGAAGAAATGTACAGAGATGGACTAAAAAGGGGAAGGAGAATCAGCAGGACAGGACAGTAACAGATAACTGAAACCATGACGTGATGCAAAAAATAAATCCCACAGGGCCCGCTGAGATCCAGCAGATCCCGTCCTGCAGCCTGGCTGGAAGCACCGGGAGCTGCTCGGTGACCGCTCTGCCCCTCACGGCCCGGCCCGGCCTCTCTGCCCTCAGGATACCGCCCCCGGCCCCCTCTGCCCTCCGGACACCGCTCCCAGCCCGGCCCGGCCCCTCTGCCCTCCGGAACCCGGCC